GTTGCTTTAGCCACTTACAACAACATTATATTTATTGTGAAATCAAAATAAAGTAGCCCGACGGTTCAAGGAGGTAGTTCCAACCTAGTGACCGACGGTTCAAGGAGATAGTTCCAACCTAGTGACGTTGCATATAATGGTTAAGTGTTAGACTCGAACGAGTAAGTTTCCCTTTTAAAATCTTGTCTACATGGCTTTTTACCACTGGCGGCTAGGCTGGTAACCAGTCGGATAGATGACAGGAGGGGTGGTAGGAATAGGGATAATAGAAAGGTGAAGGATTTAGGATGATCGAAATTGGGAAAAAGAAAGGGAGGATGGTAGAAAGAAAGGAAGAGAAGGATAGATAGAAGATCCGAACAATATAGTTTACTTACCGTTTAGAGTTAGGTTGCAGACCTGTTTAGGGTTGCCACTTGTTCAAGAAGTATTGGCTTTATGACTAGTTATTCCAACATGGGCTTAGAAGATAATAACTTTTCCTTATTTTAAGTTAGAGTTAAAAAAGTTGAAACATGTAACTTTTTACACCCTAGGTTACTTGGAGACACTAAAGTAACGATTGACTAGTCTCTGCATTTCAAAGGGTACATTAATGACTAATGACACAAATATATACTTTTACTAATGTCTATCCACTATAGTGGTTTGACTTTAGTAAAAATTATAATCTTTTACGTGTGTACTGACAACTGGTCGATCTGCTGTATTCATTCCAACCAAAATCGTTTGGTTGGTTGTTTGTTCGATCGACTCAAAAATTTTTATTTTTATAAAAAATTTATCGAACATGTATGAATAATTCCATATATGACAAGAGAGGGAATAGTGGTGATAAGCAGAAAAATATCAGACATAGCCGACCTTAAATATCCTAACCCATTTTCATATTTTAGCATTAATATCACTTTACATACATTTGTATACAATTAATACATTATAAACAAATTTTTAGGAATTGGATAAGTGAATTTACGTTCGTATAAAACTTATTTATGTTGAGTTTTATTGGAATTTTAATAAGATGATCGTATGCTTATTAAAGATGATCATTTTTATAATGTTTATTTCTTGTTTGTTTTTATACCCTCCACCACCATCAGTGGTGATAGAGGGTATATATAACTTTGTCATTCCGTGTGTAACACCAAGAAATATTCATCTGAGACCCAAAAATATATATATATTCTTGGACCTTATGAAATTCTGAGTCGATTTAGCTATGTCCATCCATCCATCCGTCCGTCTGTCTGTCTGTCTGTCTGAATAAAACATTCTCACGTTAACACGAAGCAACAAAAATTAACGAAATTCACCCAAAATATTTATTATTGTCCTAGGCAGTTTGGTATTGGAAATAAGCAAAATCGGTTCACACCGGGAAAAGTTATGAATCAAAGTTTGAAACAACTTCGAAAAAAATAAGCATTTTTTACACATTCTGATGTAATTTTCTCGAAAACTATGCAAGATAATTCCATGAAAATCACCATACTTTCGTTTCTACACAAGAGCTTGACTCCTGCTGAAAATTGCCAGAATCGGTCAACAATTGCATATACCTCCCATACAAAAGTACATATTCCCGGAAAATGGGTTTTTTGTTAATAACTTCCGTCATAATGTCGAAATCTTTACAAAATTTTACAAATTAAAATCTTATGTGAATAGAATTCATTCAGAGAAAAAAATTTCTGGATCGGTCCATAATTGGACATAGCTCCCATACAAGGTCCCCTCCCGAAAAACACTTAAAACCACATAACTCATTAGCAAATGAAGATATCAATATAAAATTTGGTACAAATATTGCTCTTATATACAGAAATATTACTACGAAATTTTTTTCCGATCGGTTCATAATTGGTCATAGCTCCCATACAAGGTTCCCTCCCGAAAATCACTTAAACGCGTATAACTCATTACTAAATTAAGATATCCATATAAAATTTGGTATAAGTATTGCTCATACGCAAAGAAATTTTACTGTGAAAGTTTTTTTCTGATCGGTCCATAATTGGTCATAGCTCCCATACTAGGTCCCATCCCGAAAATCACTTAAACGCGCATAACTCACTACTAATTTAAGATATCCATATAAAATTTTGGTACTAGTATTACTCATATGCACAGAAATATTACTCTGAAATTTTTCTCCGAGCGGTCCATAATTGGTTATAGCTCCCATACAAGGTCCCCTCCCGAAAATCACTTAAACGCACATAACTCATTACAAAATTAAGATATCCACATAAAATTTGGTACAAGTATTGCTCATATGCACGAAAATATTACTGTGCAATTTTTCTCCGAGCGGTCCATAATTGGTCATAGCTCCCATACAAGGTCCCCTCCCGAAAATCACTTAAACGCACATAACTCATTACAAAATTAAGATATCCACATATACACGAAAATATTACTGTAAATTTTTTTTCCGATCGGTCCATAATTGGTCATAGCTCCCATACAAGCTCCCCTCCCGAAAATCACTTAAACGCACATTACTCATTACAAAATTAAGATATCCACATATGCACGAAAATATTACTGTGAATTTTTTCTCCGATCGGTCAATAATTGGTCATAGCTCCCATACAAGGTCCCCTCCCGAAAATCACTTAAACGCACATAACTGTTTACTAAACATTTGGCATAAATACTATTTTTGTACACAGAAATGTTAATTGAACATTTTTTCATGATCGGTCTAACTTTGGTCATAGCTCCCATACAAGGTTCCCTCCCGAAAATCACTTAAACGCACATAACTCATTACAAAATATTGATATCCATACACTTAGCAAAAATATTGCTCTTATATACATAAATTAAACTATACAAGTTAGAGTGCTATATTCGGCTGAGCCGAATCTTAAATACCCTCCACCAGCTATTTATATATTAATACTTTTCAAATTGATCAAATATTTGTAGAAATAAGTTTTCTCATGTCTTGAATAGAAAAAATACAAAGATTTAAACAGCTTAAATCTATTACAAATCTATTACAACAGCTTAAATCTATTACAGCTTAAATCTATTACAATTCCCATACAAGGGGACCTTGTATGGGAATTATGACTAATTATGGACCGATCGGAAAAAAAATTTCACAGTAATATTTTCGTGCATATGTGGATATCTTAATTTTGTAATGAGTTATGTGCGTTTAAGTGATTTTCGGGAGGGGGCCTTGTATGGGAGCTATGACCAATTATGGACCGCTCGGAGAAAAATTTCACAGTAATATTTTCGTGCATATGAGCAATACTTGTACCAAACTTTATGTGGATATCTTAATTTTGTAATGAGTTATGTGCATTTAAGTGATTTTCGGGAGGGGACCTTGTATGGGAGCTATGACCAATTATGGACCGCTCCTAGAAAAATTTCACAGTAATATTTCTGTACATATGAGTACTACTAGTACCAAATTTTATATGTATATCTTCATTTAGTAGTGAGTTATGCGCGTTTAAGTGATTTTCGGGAGGAGACCTTGTATGGGAGCTATGACCAATTATGGACCGATCAGAAAAAACTTTCACAGTAAAATTTTTTTGCGTATGAGCAATACTTATACCAAATTTTATATGGATATCTTAATTTAGTAATGAGTTATGTGCGTTTAAGTGATTTTCGGGAGGGGATCTTGTATGGGAGCTATGACCAATTACAGACCGATGGAACAAAAATTTCACGGTAATATTTCTATATGTGAGAGCAATACTTTTACCAAATTTTATGTGGATATCTTAATTTAGTAATGAATTATCTGCGTTTAAGTTATTTTCGGGAGGGGACCTTGTATGGGTGCTATGTCCAATTATGGACCGATCCAGAAAATTTTTTCTCTGAATGAATTCTATTCACATAAGATATTAATTTGTAAAATTTTGTAAAGATTTCGACATTGTGACGGAAGTTATTAACAAAAAACCCATTTTCCGGGAATATGTACTTTTGTATGGGAGGTATATGCAATTGTTGATCGATTCTGGCAATTTTCAGCAGGAGTCAAGCTCTTGTGTAGAAACGAATGTATAGTGATTTTCATGGAATTAATGTTGTTTCAAATTTTGATTCATAACTTTTCCCGGTGTGAACTGATTTTGCTTATTTTCAATACCAAACTGCCTAGGACAATAATAAATATTTTGGGTGAATTTCGTTAATTTTTGTTGCTTCGTGTTAACTTGAGAATGTTTTATACAGACTGACAGACGGACATAGCTAAATCGACTCAGAATTTCATAAGGTCCAAGAATATATATACTTTGTTGGGTCTCAGATGAATATTTCTTGGTGTTACACACGGAATGACAAAGTTATATATACCCTCTATCACCACTGATGGTGGTGGAGGGTATAAAAATTGTTAAAAAAAAATTTTTAAAAAATTAAAAAAAATTTTTTTGGAAATAATGATGAAATAGCTATTTTTGAGTTGGGTCAATTGACATGAAATTCCCCATATGTGTATATTAACTAATTTCAATATTTTTTGACTTTTGATCTATGGTATTACACTCTCTTTATATATTTTAAAAATCCACGATTTAAAATTTTGCAGTTTGATTGAATTTATTGTTACATACTTCCACTATAAACTATATGCATTTAATTGTTGAATTTGTAGTCTTACCCTATATATTCAAAGATCCCGTTATAGTCACCTAAAACTCAACTGGCCCTATATAGTATTTTTAAACATACCAGCAATATTTTAAAATGCATTTTATGTTTACAAAAAATCGTGCTGGCACTATTTTTTTTTAATAAACTAATTGTCAAACAGGATACTCTATTTGTTGTTTTGAAAATGTTGTATATACAAGCAATAAGTTTATAAAACAAAATTTCCAGACAAAAGCTGATTTATAAATCGCTTACAAAATAAAAATTTGTTCATGAATAAGCCCTTAAGTTTTGTGTTTATGTAATCGATAATTCCGTGAGGCCATTACAACAAAATCAATCAAAAAGTCGATTTTAAATTTTTGTTAAGCTAGGGCATATTGGGTTTTAGGTGACGTTATATGTATGTATTTATTTAGAGTTTTTTACAATATTGGAAACATACATGTATTTTTAATTTTAAACACATTTCAAAATTTTATCTGAAATATTCCGAATTTGGTAAATTTAAAAACAAAAAAATACACAGTCAAACCCGTTTATAACGAACTCCGCTAAACTAGTCAAATTTATTCTTTATAAACGAAGTTCGTAATAGTTTTTATATATCATATAATAGAGTGGCATTTTCTTCAAATAAAAGAACATTATGATTTTTTTAATTTTCTTTACAAAAAAGAAATAGCAGTGACATTATTTGTTCATATCTTTTTCAACAAATTCAAGTTTTTTTTTAACTGAAAAAGTAGTTAGTTTTATCCGAGGATTCGTTATAACAAGGTTCGTTATAAGAAATGTTTTTTGTAAGAAAATATTTACTAAAATATCGGGACTTGAAAAATAGTTTGTAATATCCGAGAATTTATTATAACCGAGTCCGTTATTAACGGGTTTGACTGTACATAGAAATGTTGATTACAAAGCACAATCTTAATTTATATTTAATGATATTTGAAATTATTTATAAGTAGACATACGAAATTATTAAAAAAAATATCACAATGAAGATCCGAAAATACTAATATTTATCTGGGACCCCATACAATATATTTGAGTATTTAATTAAAACATTCTAAGTCGATCAAGCCATGTTTGTTTGTTAAAATCTCGAACATTCACAAATGTTAGGAAATAGGCTGCTGAAATGAAAAAAAGAAAGAAGAATTAGTATGTTTTAGCTATTCAATAGATACATTTGATGTTTTTTTTCAAAATTTATATCTATAACTATAACAATTTCGAATAAAATATTATGACTGTTTCATATCTAGTGTTTATAAACCGGTTAACCGAAAAACCGGTTTTTATTGCATATTTCGGTTTTTCGCAAACCGGTTTTTTTAAAACATTGGTTTTCGGTTAACCAGGTTGTCCGGTTTTTAAGTCTCGGTTAACCAGTTTCAAAAAATCTAATTTTTAGTACACAATTTTATGTTTTCTTTGATTTTTTATTGTGATTTTTAAAAATTTTGGATAGATAACTCTTAACATTATTTTCCGTTTGTGCATATGAAAACAGACCTAAGATTGTTAAACAAATGTTAGGAAATGTTAAACATACATTATGTATATAAAATGGAGATTTACAATTTCAGACAATCAGGATATTAGTAAAAAGTTGGCATTTAAACCAATAAATTTAAACAAATTGTAACCATTTTATGAAAAAATTTCTTATTTATTAAGGCGAATAAAAAAATTTGATGATAAAATGCAGGATGCACTTGTTTACTGCGTGTGTATAACAAAAATCGTGAAACGTTCTCAAAACGGACTTTATTTATTGAAACATAAGGGTTGTTGTCACTGTCCGAGAATTTATGCTGCTAGGGTTTTCACAAACTGTAATGACGCTAAGGTTGATTGACAGGAAGTCAGCATGACACCTGTCAATATTCCTAAGCGTCATTCACAGTAATTTGAACAACCACAGGCGTAGCGAGCGGAGGGAGGTCACAATTAAAGCAGAGGCTCAATGTCTATGTCGAGACAGTCGTCTACTTCCGTTCCCGATGAATCGTCTCGAGCCTGAATACTATTTATACTTGATAGTCCTGGACATACATTTTTTTATTGATATAGATGCATTATATATTCAAAGGTCAATTTATCCCTCCTATTGCAACTTCCATATACCTAACGAATCAATAATATCTTCAGGTATGTATAAGTTTGTTTTCTTATGTTATATTAACCCTTAATAGCCTGATTTTTTTGTTTGAGCGGAAAAAAATTAATGTTATAAAACTTACATTTCTAAGCAACTTTTGTTCTACAACTTTGTTCATATGTAGTATTTACCTGTGTTATGTGAAAAGAGATTGTACGCCGACGTTTCGAAGCAATTTCAACCCCAAAATTGTTTGGTCGATCTTTTCCCATTCGAATTTTAACACAAGATTTCATCAAGCAATAACAGACTACTGGCACAAATGCTATGTTTCATTTTAAAATAAATCAATCAAAAAACATTCCAAAAATATCGATTTATATAATCTGATGTATGAAAAAATTTTAAGTCTGGGTGCCTGGTGGTCCCTTAAAGAACCAACCAGAAATTTCAAAAAATCCCACTAACTAAAGAAGTAAAATCACTTCAAATACCTATTATTACAATAATATTAGGCAACGAGCCGTAAAATATTTTTTCTGTTTAAGATTTTGTCGATTTATAACTAAAACTTTTTGTCAAAAGTACACAATATCACAAAAGATTTTTTTTGAGGTAATTGCATTCTTTTGAACCTGGACAAGTCAAATGAAGCTTTATTCCAATACCGATCAAAGAAATTAGTGCCGCTTGCAATTAAAAATATTTTAAAAGTCATAACATGAAGTTGACAAATATTTAAATAACAAAAAACTTAATTTTTATCGGTTGGTTCCTGGCGGTACCACCAGGCTATTAAGGGTTAATGTACATATCTATACTAAAAAGTGCAAATATCTTATTAAGTAATTCATAATATTTCGCAAAATTACATTTTTCAACTAAATATTATAATATTTTAAAGATTTCCAAACATTCCGGTTAACCTGTTTAACCGTTTTTTTTAAACTCGGTTAACCGACAAACCGGTTTTCTAGAAATGGTCAATTTTCGGTTAACCGAAAAACCGGTTTTTCCAAAAGTCGGTTTTTTATAAACACTATTCATATCACACACCCAGTTAAAAAGTGACTCAACTTAAAAATTCTGAAACATAAAGAAAGACATAACAGTCTTTTTCAACAGTTAACAACAACAAAATACAACAGTTAACAACAACAAATTTTTATACCCTCCACCACCATCAGTGGTGATAGAGGGTATATATAAGTTTGCCATTCCATGTGTAATACCAAGAAATATTCATCTGAGACCCCACAAAGTATATATATTCTAGATCCTTGTGAAATTCTGATTCGATTTAGCTGTGTCTGTCTGCCTCCAAGACTCTCACGTTTAAACTAAGCAAAAGAAATCAAACTAAGCAAAAGAAACCAAATTCACTGAAAATATTCACTATTATCCAGGCAGTTTGGTATTGAAAATCAGCCAAATCGGTCCACAACGTAAACAGTTATGAGTAAAAATTTCAGTATTATGCTTTTTTCCTAATTCTTGAGTAGTTTTCTCAGAAACTACTAAAGATAATGGAATAAAATTTGTCAGACGTTATTTTCTTTACCGAGGGATCAAAAATGTTCAAAATCAAAACAATCGATTCAAAATTTCTCATAGCCCCCATACAAAGGTATATATTCTCGGAAATAGATTTATCGTTAATAACGGCAAAAATAACGGTATCACCACGAAATTTCGCATATATGTATATAATATGAACAGAAATCATATTACCAACGTAGACCTGTATAGGTCCATTATTGGTCACAGCTCCCATATACTATAAGGTCCACTTTCAAAAAATTCTTAAATACAAATAACTAATTAAGAAATAAAGATATTGGAAAAATATTCAACACAAATATGTTTTGTGTATACATAAATCATAATTGGTCACAGCTCCCACAGAAGGTCCAAAGTGCTATTTTCGGCTATGCCGAATCTTAAATACCCTCCACCTGTAAGCTACTTTTTATGAAAGTTTAAATTGTGCTTACGTGATGAGGGTGCTATCATTTAAAAATCATATATACCTTTTATGGAGATATGGCCAATTATTGACCAATCCGAACAAAATTTCGCAGAACGATTTATCGATAAAAAACACACTATGTCGGATTTTATCCGTATATATTTATAATTGAATGAAATATATTGGAAAAAGTGACTTATGGAAATGGGCCTTATATGAGAACTAAGACCAATTATACATACATATACTAATTTTTTTTTTAAGATTTCTTATATACACAAAATATACTTATTCCGATATCTTTATTTATCAATGAAATATGCGATTTTCCGAAGTGGACCTTATATGACAGATATGAACAATTATGGACCGATCCGAAAAAAACTTATTCATATAACCTATTTTTAAAATATCTTTATTTCTTAATCGGATATTTCCATTTAAGCGATTTTTGGAAGTGGTTCTTATATGGGAGCTGTGACTAATTATGGACCGATTTCGCACGGTGTTTTTTTTTTTTTTAATTTCTTATATACACAAAATATACTTATTCCGATATCTTCATTTATCAATGAATTATGCGATTTTCTGAAGTGGATTTATATGACAGATATGAACAATTATGGACCGATCCGAAAAAAACTTATTTATATAACCTATTTTTAAAATATCTTTATTTCTTAATCGGATATTTCCATTTAAGCGATTTTTGGGAGCTGTGACTAATTATGGACCGATCCAAAATATATTTTGCAGACTGATATATGTATACACAATACATATTTATGTTGAATATTATTTCAATATCTTTATTTCTAAATTAGTTATGTGCATTTAAGTAATTTTCGGAAGTGGACCTTACATGAGAGCTGTGACCAATTATGGACCGAACCGGAAAAAATTTCGCAGGGTGTTTTATATCTACTTTAAACACATTCATGATGAATTTTATACCGATATCTTCACTGTGTTATGTAATATGTGCGATTACGTGGTTATCGGAAATGGGCTATGCCCAATTATGGACCAATCCGAAAAATATTTTGCAAAGTGATATATGTATACACAAAACATATTTATGTTGAATATTATTCCAATATCTTTATTTCTTAATTAGTTATTTGTATTTAAGTATTTTTCGAAAGTGGACCATATATGGGAGCTGTGACCAATAATGCACCTATACAGATCTACGTTGGTAATATGATTTCTGTACTTTTTATATACATATGTGCAAAATTTCGTGGTGATACCGATATTTGAAGTTATTAACGATAAATCTATTTCCGACAATATGTGCCTTTGTATGGGGGCTATGAGAAATTTAGAATCGATTGTTTTGAGTTAGAACATTTTTGATCCCTGGGTAAAGAAAATAACGTGTGATAAAATTCATTCTATTATCTTTAGTAGTTTCTGCGAAAACTACTCAAGAATTAGGAAAAAAACTTAATTTTTTTCGAGGTAGTCTGAAATTTTTACTCATAACTGTTTACGTTGTGGACCAATTTGGCTGATTTTCAATGCCAAACTGCTTAGGACAATAGCGAATATTTTCAGTGATTTATTTTTCATAAGGATCCAGAATATATATACTTTGTTGGGTCTCAGATGAATATTTCTATCTATATTTCTATCACCACTGATAGTGGTGGAGGGTATAAAAACCGCACTTAACGATTTTGAAGATTCTAACTAGTTTTTTATATGGATACTAACTATACCCAGTGTGCTTTGCTACCCTAAAAACAATACAAATAAAAAACCGCACTTAAAGATTTTGAAGATTCCAACTATAATAGTTTTTATATAGATATACTAGCTATACCCAGTGTGCTTTGCTACCCTAAAAGCAATATGTATAAATAAAAAACCCACTGAACGATTTTGAAGATTCTAACTACAATAGTTTTCCAGATTTACAATATGTTACATATAAAAGATGTCAAGCAAATTATTGCAAGTTCGCCTGTTTTTATCCATCGCCAGTTTCGATCTATCTATGAAAAATTTGAAAAATATAAGAGTTTCCAAGATACACGAAATTTTGTAATTAATTC